CCTTTCGGATTCCTCTTGTGATCACAGGCAGGGAGGCAGTGGAGGTGCCTGCCTGGACCAGAGGAGAAGACCTGCACTTCCTCTTCCCAGGCCCCACAGGCCTTACGGGCCATCAGTGCCGGCCCGCTAACTGCCTCAGCACCCAGGGCCTGTTCATTCCTGCATCCACTGTACCACGCCACAGGGCGTGACCCCTGCATCCACTGGGGGTGGGCGTGAGTCCTGCATCCACTGGGGGTGGGCGTGAGTCCTGCATCCACTGGGGGCGGGCGTGATTCTTCCACCATCTGCAGCCCGGGGATTCCAGGAAATCTGTCCTCGGACTCCAAGCACACAGAGGCAGGTGCCCAGGCTCCAACCCACTGGCCTGGGGCACAGACCGTGCAAAGGCCAGGAGCCTCAGGGAGAACCTCCGGGCCCGCTGGCTCGCGAGCGCCACCTGGGCAAGACCTGGGCTGCCTTCAGCTGCTGCCTCCAGACTCCACACGCAGCGACTGGATGGCAGACAGGGACTCTGGAGACCCATCAGCCTTGGAAAGGTCAGGGGTAAAGGGCAGTGGGCAGGCACTGTGTCTTTATCCAAATGCTTCCTCACCCTCCAGGCTGAGCAGGACTGGGAAGAGTACCTTCAGGAGCGCCCAGCAAGAGGGTGTATGGCCAGGCTTTACAGACAGAGGGGACAGAGGCCAGGCTGCGGCTGCTCCCTCTGGGACAATGCCTTTCTCCTGCCTGCCTCGCCCACAGGGCTCAGGCTCAAGGGCCTTGCAGAGCGCCTCCCTCACCTGACCTAAGACAGCAAGGAGGCCAAGCAAGGCCTGTGGCTGCGGGGTCCCTCCCCGGGGCTGAGCCCAGGCTCCAGAATGAGGGGACCCCACCCCTCATCCCTGGCGATATAAAGACAGGCCCCCGTGCTCCCCTTCTCAGGTGGGGGGAGCCTCTGATAGCGGGAAGAATGCTGTCAATCAGCCACGTGCAAGGGAGGCTTGGCATCCCCAAGCCATTCAGTCACAGGACAGCTCTCACCTTACAAACACTCCTAGCCAAGTTAGCTTGCGTTCCTTCAGACAGCAAGTTCCAGGTCTGAGGGAGCACACAGGGTGCCCACTGTCTGCTGGGTGTGCACCCCATCCTCCACACCTCATCCCCACCCAGAAGTGTGCCCCTTGCCCATGCCCCACCCCCGCACCTGGGTACCAAGGGCATGTGATAGGGCTGGTCCAGGTTCAACCACTCCCTGGCTCTCAGACCCTGGGCACGGCACCAACCCACCCCACAAAGGTCTTGTCTTCCCACACCAAACCCACTCAGCAGGCAGACCCAGGGCCCCACCTCCTCTTAGCTCTGTCCCATTCCCTCAGAGCTTTTCCCCAACCCTGCCCTGCAACAGGCACTGGGGATCCAGACACCCAGCAGACGGGCAGACACCACTGCTATTATCTGGCCAAGGAAACCAATGAGAAAAGCACTACTAACAGAAACAGTAACACATTTATTGACCAATTACTGTATGCCAAGCAGCAAGGAGGCAACCCAGGGGTCAAGTCTGGCCACATGGTCCGTGGTGATCACTGCAGCCCCAGCCCCAACAGCAGCGTAAGGAGCACACACTGGACAGTAGGACACTACAGTTCCCAGCTGTTGGCCAGAGAACAGCCAGCCAGGCCCAAGGGCCACTGTGGTGACATGGCCCAGCCCCACCACAGGGTTCCCCAGCACAGTCATGTCCCTTGTGGTGCTTGCCACAGAGTGGTTCTGACCATCTCACCCATGCACTGCTGCCTGGTCACCACCAGCTACCCTCCCCACATCAGCCCAGCACTCCCTGCCCTTCCACTTTGGGTCCCCCAATACCTGCTCCATGCAGGCCAGGTTCGGGACCCTCTGTGACTCTCTGCCTCCCTCATGGCTCTCTTTCTCTGAGCTAGCCCTTACCACAAATGCACTCTTGTGGGTTGAACTGTGCCCGGACCCCAGTCCCTGCGCATGGGAGGTACTAGAAACAAGCTATTTGAAAATGAAACAAAGATGGGGTCTTGCTGGATTAACGCAGGCCCTAAAACCAATGACTAGAGTCCTTATAAAAACTGGGAAATTGAGGCCAGGCACGATGGCTCATGCCTGTAATCACAGCACTTTGGGAGGCCAAGGGGGGTGGCGGGGGGGCGGATCACCTGAGGTCAGGAGTTCAAGACCAGCCTGGCCAACATGGAGAAACGCCGTCTGTACTAAAAACACAAAATTAGCTGGATATGGTGGCACGCGCCTGTAATTCCAGCTACTCAGGAGGCTGAGGCAGGAGAACTGTTTGAACGTGGGCGGGTGGGGGGGGGAGGCTGTGAGCCCAAGATGGTGCCATTGCACTCTAGCCTGGGCAACAAGAGCGAAACTCCATCTCAAAAAAAAAAAAAAAAAGAAAAAAAAAGATGATGATGAAATCAGAGACTGGCTGGATACACCTACAAGCTAGAGAACACCAAGGGCTGCCCACAGCCATCAGAAGCCAAGAAAAGAGCAGGGAACTGACCCCTGGACTTGGGACTTCTGGCCTCCAAAACTGTAAGGGAATAGATTTCTGTCGTTTGAAGCCACCTGGGTTGTGGTAATGTGTCAAGGAAGTCACAGGACACTAACGCATCTGCTTATTTCAAAACACTTTCACTGATGGAACGAGAGTCACAGATGCACCGGCACGTGCTCAGCACTAACTGTGCTCAGACACGATGAGAGGCTGGGGATCAGCAAAAAATTCATCAGTCACATGCTGAACTCAGGAGCCCAAGCAAGTGCTTCCTGGGCCACATGACGGCTGAGGGAGCATGAGACAGGGAACATTTGAGTGAGGCTTTGAAGGTTGAGTAGAAGTTGGCTTGGAAGATCCCCACCCACACACTATGTTGTTAAGGACAAGTTGTATTCTTCCCTCCCCTTCACTACCAAGCAGGTTTCAGAGGGGTCCCTGGCTTCTCTTAATGCTCTCGGCATGAGACTACTAGCACACACTGTGGACACAGCACACGTTTTAGGCATAGAACACGCACCTCTCACACCCTTCTCAGCCTCCTCACACCTCCCAGTAAAAGATCCCTGGGTAAATATATTCACTGTCAAAACACCAAGCCCAATATGCAGCCTGCTGGCCCTACCAGGCCAAGTCAGCAGCCTAAACTAAAGATCCATTTCCAATGGTCAGCAGGCTGAGTTTCTGCCCTGGGACACACAGTCCACAGGTGCATTTCTTCCTTTCTAATCTGATGTTTGGGGCAGCACCTCAATACACACTTTTACCTGGAGAATTTGGGGAGCTTCAATGGAAGTGTGTGCGCAGTGCAAATAACAGGACGAACGTTGAAGACAAAGGTAGCTTCAGGAACAATGACTGCTAAGGTCCAAAAAACCAGAGTGCCAGGAGATGCTCCGGGTTCCAACATTTGCCTCTGAGCCTAGAGCTTGACCTCCGCCTGGCCAAATGTTCCCAGATCAAGGGGTACCAACAGAGCAGACCCTGGAGTCACAGTCTGGGTTCAACACCTGGCTGTGCCACTTACCAGCAAGGCACTCAGCGCCCCAGGCTTCAGCGTCCACTTACCAGCAAGGCACAGCCTCCCTAGACCTCAGCGTCCTTAGCTGTTAAACGGGATGCCAGTAGCTTCTATGAAGAATTGGATGAATTAAAATTTATAAAACCCTTAGAACAGTGTCTGGGATACAGTAAGCACACATAAGTGTTTACTACGTAAATCAAAATGCCACACTTGTAAATCTGTGTTTCTGCTATTCTCAATCTCTCCTGTTCAGAGTTGGCCAAGGTTCTCATTTGTTAAGACCATCAAATTTCTAAAACTAGCAACAGCAAGGGTAGTCTCAAAATAGGCGATAGATTTAGGACAACTTCCACAGGAGACTGGCATGTCATCAAGGAGTAAGAGCCACAGTCAAGGTCAAGGTGAACCCCCTTAGGGAGACACGCCGCTCCTGGGAACCTAGGAATACCACTGTTTATCCCTGCAATCCCACCAGGGTGAAGACAGAGTCGGAGTTTAGGAAAAAACCAATGTCGCTCCAAAAGATGTTGCGACAACTGAAACGGGAATGGCTAATGCTAATTTTCTTCCGAATTTGTCTTCTACCGAAAAACAGCAGAAAATGCAAAGTCTCAATTTCAAAACTTAGGGCTTTGGATAACGGTGTCCCAAACCCCTGTAAACGCTGTCTCTTGAAATCCACAAGGACGAACTTACGGAGCTAGAGGAAAGGTTGTGGAGCAAATCCATCAAGTTTGTTAGGCGAGGCGGCGGGGGAGGGTGTCACGCTGAAATGCGGCGTGGCCGCGAGGATACGGGCGGGCGGTGCGCTTCTTACGGGGCCGAGCTGCCTAACGATGCCCTCCAAATGGGCATTGGGAGGCGTCCCTCTGTGCCTCCATCGTCGGCGCCTCGCTCCAGCTGCAGAAGGGGCAGCCCTGGCCGCGGGCCCCGCCATCCCCGTGCGCCCGGAGGCTGGCCCGCGCCCTTCTCCACTCGCCAAGCTGAGCACAGAAAGCGAGTGTCGCCCGCCGCCCGCCTTCGCCACCGAGACTGGCTGCGGAGCGCGACGAGCCCTCGCCCCGGCCCTGGCCCCGGCCCCGAAGGGTCCCCGTGCGCCCGGCACGGCCCAGGACTGTTCCCAGCGCGCGCCGCGGACTCGGAGGACAGCGCGCTCGGGGGCCGGCACCCTCCAGCGTCCGCCCGGCCCCCAGCGCCCCGTGCCCCGGCCCGAGGGACCCGCCGCCCCAACAAAGTTGGCGCAGGCTCTCCAGGGAGCGCCCCCCACACGGCCCGGTGTCCGCTGGCGCGCAGGCGTGGAACACGGGGACGGGCACCGGGCCGCCGTCGGGGTTCGCGGCCGCCCGGCTGCGCCCCGGCTTTGTTCGCGCCCTGCGCCCGCCAGCTGCCCGCGCCCCGGCCCCACGAGCGCCCGCCCTCAGCCCCGCCGCCCGGCGCCGCCGCCCCGGCCCGGCCCACCTTCTGGATGGTTTGCTGCGTGACCTCCCCTTTGCCTCTTGGCCGGGCGGACGCGAAGGCCACGGACATGGTGGCTGCGCGGGACTCAGCCCGTGGTCATCGGGGTGGATACTCCGGCTGCGCTCGGCGGCCCGAGGCGCTCATTATCCGCAGTAGCGGCGGGGGGGCAGGGGGCGGGGGCGCGGGGGGCGCCGCGTCATGGGCTCGTCCGCCTCGTCGCCGTCGCCGAGCCTCCGGGCCCGCGGCGCCGCCGCTCCGCCCTGCAGAAGGGTCTGCGGCCCCAGTGCCGAATGGTGGCCCCCGGCGGCCCCCTCGCACCCAGCGCCCGGCCCTCCGCCGGAGCACCGCCTCCCACCCCCGGCCACCGGTGGTTCGGCCTGGCCCCGCCCCGGCGCGCGCCCGCACGTCCGCCCGACGCCGTCTGACGCCGCCCGACGCCGCCTGACGCCGCCCGTCGCCGGCAGCGCAGGTCACGGCGCCGAGGGCGGGGCGCGGGCGCAGTGGTGCCGGGAGTCGCGGGTGCGCGCGGGCCGTGAGTGTGCGCTTTTGAGAGTCGCGGCGGAAGGAACCCGGCCGCCGCCCCGCCGGCATGAGCTACGACCGCGCTATCACCGTCTTTTCGCCCGACGGCCATCTCTTCCAAGTGGAGTACGCGCAGGAGGCCGTCAAGAAGGGCTCGACCGCGGTGAGCCGCTGGGGCCTGCGCGGGGCCGGGGACGCGGGCGGAAGTGGGGCTGGGGAGCCGAGAGAGGGTCAGGGTCGGGGTCGGGCGCGGAGCTGTGGGCGCACGCGGGCGTGCGCGGGGCAGCGGCTTGGGCAGTCGGGGCTGTAGCTGAGCGCGGGCCCCGCTGCCGGTCTCCACGAGTGCCTGCAGAGGCGGCGTTTGGCGTGAGCCGCGATGGTCCGTTCTCCCCACCCAGCGCCTCGCTTGGGGCCCGGCCTCGCGTGGGGCACCCGGCACGCGGGACCGTGGCGACGCCATCTTGGGCACCCCTGGCCCCGGCCGGGCGCGTGGGTCGCATCGCCGACCCGGTTTGCAGAGGCCGGGCGAGGGCCGCTGCAGGCCGCGGGGGATCGACTGTGCGCTCGCTGGGGGCTGTTCACGCAGCCGGGTGGCTGGGGAGCGAACTGCTCAGTCCCCCGTTACGGGGACCCCCACCCGCCCCAGGGCAACACTTGTTCTCTAGGCCCAGGTGGGCTTCGGGAACAAAGCAGCTCGCTGGTCTGGCCGGTGGCGGGCGCCTCCCGGGTCCCTGCACTCTGCCGGAAGGAGCCTTCCCGGGGCCGGGCTGCAGCCGCTGGGGTCAGGACTGGTCTGAACACGGCCGTTTCAGTTTTGACGAGGGCTCGTGTACATTGACCTTAGTGACATTGTTTGAAACTTAAATTCGTAGCATCAAGACGTGTCAGTTTTATTGGTCAGCCTGTGAGATCGTTATTCTTTTATCACCTGGTATTCAGAGGTTTGAGCAGGCAAAGAAAGCACACACGGTTCTCTAAATTTTGAATTGTTTTCATTTTCTGAATCTGTTTTGAAATGAAGGCCCAGTTATTCATCAGGTGATCTAAGTCAGCTTAAAGAGCACTAGGAGTCGGCTGACCCCTGCCTTCGACCCCAACACTCCCACCTCCGCCAGTTGGCTGCACCTGGCTTTAACAAATCCATGTAGCTTCTCTGGGCCTCGAGTCAGTTGAAGGTCAAGTGAGTCAGTACCTGAGAAAGCTCCCGGAAAACCCGAACACTTGAGACCAGAACTTCTCAGCCAGGGATGGTTTTGTGCCCACAGGGGCCACTGGCAGTGTATGGCGACTTTTCTAGTGGTCTAAGACCTTGCAGAGGTGCTCCTGGCATTTAGAGGGTAGAGGCCAGGGACGCTGCTCAATATCCCACCCGTGCTCAGGGCGGCAGGAACAGTGAGATCAGCCTGCCCAGGTGCTCACAGTGCTAAGCGGGAGAAGCCCCTGCTCTAAACCAGGAGCCGCTGTTTATCCCAATGATGGTTCCCTTTGTTTCTGGCTTGACTCGGGGTTGACTGTCAGTGATTGTCGGTGCTTTTAGTAACAGCTACATCCTTCTCTAGTATCAGCCATAAACAATTTGGGATAACAGTTGACACCTTGTCCACTGGTGGCAAATCAGGCCCCTTCCCACGGCTGTCACATGAGTATGTCACAGTGCAGGAAACAGTGCATTGTGGCTCAATATAATTTCACAACTACAGAAACACTGCCTTCAGAACACCAGACTCGAGTGTGAAAGTCTGAGGCTTCCAGGCTTTGCATGGGACTGTTTGATTCATTGGGTTGAAAGGAAACACATGCCGATTATATAATGGTTAGTTACTAGCTATGTTGTAACTAAAACTACATCTCAGCATTTGAAAGGCGCAGGTTGGGCACCTAGGTGAGCACGCCTGGGCTAGCTCTACCAGCAGTAGATGAATGCCCTGGGTTTGCAGGATGTGGTGCCAACCACAGTGACAGACAAGTGGAGGAGAAAGGGGTGTGGGTGAACACACCTTCCAGTGGGAGCTGCTACCCAGAGTACGTATCCCCCAGGACCGAGGTTCAAATCTGCTCCTAGTGCTTGCTGCCTGGCAGTAGAACCATGTGTCACTTTTTTTCGGAGGGTGGGGTGGGGTGAGTGGACAGGGTCTTGCTGTCTCTGTCTCCCAGCCATCATGGCTCACTGCAGCCTCCACCTACCAGGCTCTAGCAATCCTCCCACCAGCCCCCAGAGTAGCTGGGACTGCAGGCTTGAGCCACCACGCCTGGCTAATTTTTGTACTTTTTTTAGAGACAGGGTTTTGCCATGTTGTCCATGCTGGTCTCGAACTCTTGAACTCAAGTCATCCACCCACCTCAGCCTCCAAAAGTGCTGGAATTACAGGCATGAGCCACTGCACCCAGCACTCATGTCACTTTCTTATGTGGTTTGTGGATCTTAATTAAAGGTTGGTGTTCGAGGAAGAGACATTGTTGTTCTTGGTGTGGAGAAGAAGTCAGTGGCCAAACTGCAGGATGAAAGAACAGTGCGGAAGATCTGTGCTTTGGATGACAATGTCTGCATGGCCTTTGCAGGTACGCGTCGGTGGGGAGTGCTGTCTTACTCTCCAGAGTCTCAGCGAAGAACAGGGCTTTAGAGATTAACTCGGTGTGTGGGCTGTTGTGAGCCATATAAACTGAGTAAATGAAAATCATTTAAAAGAAATGAATTTGGACTTTTAAGTTGGCCAGTTTCTTTGGTGGCCTCTCTGCCATAGCGGGTGAAAGAGAAATGGCTAAATGGATGAAAACACTTCTGGCTGCTGCGCAATTTGACCTCCACTGTTATTTTTCTGTATCAGTCAGTTACAATCTAGAGAAAAGCTGGACTTTCTAGAGCTAACTGCATCTGTGGCATGGAGAGGACAGAACCACGTCCTGCCATCCCCAGCAGTAAAAAGGACCGCATTGGTGGATGCAGGCCATGCCTCGGCATGTTCTCAGCGCTGTTTTGGTCTTGCTCAGTTCTCCTCTCAGCAGATCCAATCTGGGAAGATCTCAATTTATGTAATGAAATTAGGGATTAACTCAATTTCTAAGATTCCCAAGAGGACTCAGGTACCGTGTTTAAGTATGGTCCGAGGCACACAATTCTTCATATACAGACAGTCCCTGACTTAGTATGGTTCAATCTACAATGTTTTTAAAAATCCAGATTCTGCACAACAGCCAACAATTTTTTATTTACAATGGGTTTATGGGGTAGTCAATGCATTTTCAGCTGGGTATTTTCGACTTACGATGAGTTTAGCGGGATACCACCCCACTGCACATCGAGAAGCATCTGTACCCAATTTCTTAGAAGTTCCCAGGGGCTGACAGGTTCCACTGCCAGTCACTTAGAATAGCTTTGCTGCTGGTTTGGGGGTCTGTGGAAGGTTAAATGCTGCGTCATCGTGTCCGTCCCCCAGCCCGTAGTTTGTGCTTTCTCTACTCCAGCAGAAGCCTGTCTGCTCTCCCTGCAGGCCTCACCGCCGATGCAAGGATAGTCATCAACAGGGCCCGGGTGGAGTGCCAGAGCCACCGGCTCACTGTGGAGGACCCGGTCACTGTGGAGTACATCACCCGCTACATCGCCAGCCTGAAGCAGGTGGGTGCCTGCCTGATCGCATGCTCACTTCTGGCAGCAGGGCAGTCACTGCTCCGCCATGGCGGGTCGTCCTGCCATGTCACTTCATGTGGATTTGCATGTCACTTCAGGTGAATCAGAACACTGATTTATTCCATGATCCTGATCTTGACTTGCACAAGTGTAACTTGACCTAGCTCACCAATTTGAGTAACACTGTTCTGTTCTCAGGTCCTGGAATGGGATATTCCAAATTCCTGTGTCTAGAGGGAAATGATAGCTTTTGTCTTGCCATCCTGAGTTACTAGTCACCAAGCAGTTGAAGGGGGCTAGAAGCCACCCTATGAGGAAATGCCATTAACGTGTAAGCAGAATACATGTCTACCAGTCAAAGTAACTTCCAGTAACCTGAGTTGTCCTCCATGGTACAATTCTGGTGCTAGGTGAGTCTTTCTAGGAGTGAAAATGCAGAAAAGGATGTTGAAAGCTGTTGGCTAATACATCATTTCAACTGCTAATAACCTGAGAGGGGGCTTAGGCATGACTTAAAATGTTCATACTTTGACTAAGTACGGTTCTTTCCTCACATGCAATTTCTTAGTTGGATGGTACTGACCTGCTTCTTTTCTTGCTAGCGTTATACGCAGAGCAATGGGCGCAGGCCGTTTGGCATCTCTGCTCTTATTGTGGGTTTCGACTTTGATGGCACTCCTAGGCTCTATCAGACTGACCCATCGGGCACATACCATGCCTGGAAGGTGAGTTCGTGACAAAACAAAGGGGCTTTGGACAATCTTGCCAGAAAAAGGCTTTGAGGGGTGGGAGGTCCTGGGCTTCCTGCTGTAGGCCCTGTATCAGTGAATGAGTCGGTTTAAATTAACCTAGTCCTATGAGAGCAAGAAAAGTATTAAACATTGCTGTATGGAAGAAAATCAAAGGGCAGCAAGCTGTAAGGATAGACCACATAAATTAAAATCCTCAGGCGGGTGTGGTGGTTCACGCCTGTAATCTCAGCACTTTGGGAGGCTGAGGCAGGTGGATCACCGGAGGTCAGGTGTT